ATATTGGGAGTCATGTCGTTACTTTGTTGAGAATGTGGCCATGTAATAAGCGGGATAATTTGCAGCGACTTGTTCCTTATGGGCAAAATAACACCCTTCATCCAGATGAGGATCCCTCCGCTACGCGTCGGGATCGTGATCTGCCGACGAGGCTCCATTAAAATATAAATATTTTTTGTGAATTATTGAGTTTAGGCACGTTAATAACGTTTTAATGAAGTTGACTACAGTATATTCATATTTGTCAGTGCTTTCATGTAAATTTGGCGAACATAAACATAAAGGATCGTGGTGAAGATGATGATTAAATAAGAATTAAAAATCGAGAGCATTTCCTCCCGTTCGTTTTTGGAGCCGGCGGGCTTCCTGAGGTTTTTTGTACAGTAGCTCTGGACTAACCAACATTATTTTGTTAAATAAAAACATGGTGATGTTTTGTAGCCTAAATGATTACATGTCTCTTATTTAGCACATAGTATGATCCTATCCGTGACATATGGATCTTAGCAAAGATCCGCCATACAGTAGTAGCCTACCAGACATAAATCTACTGTACTATATCAGAGTCCATGATCCATTGCAGCTGGCTTCATTATAATTACATTTATTTATCAAGGGGGCGGTGTCAAGTCACCCTGGAGGTTTTCCTTTGAGCGAGGGCAGACCCTGTGCCGGCCACGGCCCTCGCATTTCAAACTGTCTGAAATTAGGTGCTACATCTGTAGTGTTGTCACTCAGTCATCAGTTTCTATAGACTATCTGGATTTAGTTATTGCGTAATCATTATCGTGTTCCCACAAATTACTAATGCGTGGGAACATAATAACTAATTTGTGGCAACGCATTATTAATACGTGGCCACGTATTAATATTTTTCTCAGCAATGTCACCAGGGGGGCTCCGTACATATTGCACAAAGTTGGTTTGTATTTAAAAGCAATGGGTGTTATAGTCTGTATTGTGGTGTGTGTGTAGGAGGGTCTACTAGGGGCAGTGCTGGTTGTAAAATCTGACCGCTGCAGGAAGGAAGGACCTGCGGTATCTCTCCGTGTGACAGGTGGGGTGCAGCAGCCTGTCGCTAAAGGTGCTGCACAGTGAGGACAGGTACCAACACAACAATTAGAAAAGCATCTTCAAAATTGATGCATTCATCAATTTTGGCTTTTGAGTTGCATTTAAGAAAATGTGAAGAAGTGCTTATTAGCACAGCAAGTGGTAACAGCTTATATGCAGCACTTCCCATATTCGTTTTAAATAGCAGGGTGGTATCAATCATATCTAATTATAGTTATACTAATTAAAGGGGGGAAAACATGAAATGAAGTGCTACAGCTCAAGACTCAATTTTATTTTTAAATCCTAACTCAAATATAATTTGTTTAAGTAAAATGTTTCACAACTTTAAGGGGAACCACACAGGCTTTACAAATTAATTACAGACTCATAGTTAGGATTTTCTAATTTACACACATGCCGCATGATTGCAGTAAAGACAGTAAGGTCACAGTCAGATACACAACATGCATGTTGATGTGGAAGATCTTCAGAGCTTTTGAAAGAAAGACATAAAAAACTCCATGCAAGGATGCAATTTGTGACGACCGCAAATCCAAAAGAAGCCGTGGAGGAACAGCCTTAAAGCATGTGGAACAACAAACTTAATCAGCCACTTAACGTGTTGCAATTAATTCCTCTGCATGCTGCTCAAAGTAATCACGTTGACCCGGTTGTCTGCTCGGGAGCACTGGGTCGCTCCCAAGCAAAGCTCTGCTAAATAACAGAGCTAACAGCTGCTGTTAACAGAGGTTGCATGGAGAAACATCATGATGTGTTAAATTCAGTCAAAATTAGTATTAGACAGTTGTGTTCAAGTGCAATCCTAATTTACAATGTTTTGAGGAACTTGAGTGGTTTGAAGGAGATGTTTGCACACCAAAAAATTGGAATGGATCAAGAAAATTGCAATCTATGCATTTCTAAGTGGTTTTTTTTCATTTATTCTTGTTGTCAATGTGGGACAGGGTTATTAAGTAGGCTGATGTAAAAGAAAGGATTGCATTATATAGTCTCAATATAGAGAAAGTAAAAAAATGCCTTGAACACCAAGATACAGCTCTTTGAGATTGAAATCGGGACATCCCCATCTTCTATGAAGCTACACGGAATAAATGTTAAGAAATGTTGTGGCATTCCTATTGTAGGACATCATATCATAAAGACGGAGTGAGGATTGTAGAGCTGTCAGAGAGTTGGCTGTGGATGATACCTCGATACCTACCTTCAAATTCCTTTATACTCGGCCTATGTTACTGCAAAGGGCTAAACTTCCTGCATGTGGGTGTATGGCATGTTTGAATGTATACCATGATTTCCTGAGGGGTAGCTAGTGTTTGACGTCATGGATGTGTGACTTTACCATCCTCGTGAGACACCTGTTCTTAACAGCAAAGCCATTTCCCACAGTAGGCAGTGCTAGATCCTTCTAAAATGTCATAACTTTTCCATGTAAGTGTCCTTCTATCGTTGTACCCAACATGAATGATTTTTAAGCATCAATAAAATAAATAAGGCAATGCCACTGCTGACATATTGCTCGTGAAAATATTCAAAGGGAAAGCTGTATAACTGCACAAATTAAATAGCAGTAAGATATTCAAAACCACATTCACAATGAATAATGATTCATTCCATTCTCCCACCACTAATACTGATTTCAAAAATAAAGAGTGAAACTCGATTTCGATTTGAGCCTCTGAAGAAGTAGCCTTGGAGAACTCATCCACTCTCTTTATTTCTCTCCTCCTTCATTCTGTCTCCCCGCTTCCCCTTTGTTTTCTAATACGTTGGCTGGGGAAATGATGAGGAGAGGCAACAAATGATAGGAGGAACAGTCACCCATTTGTTGGCTGATGCATTATTGATTCCTGGCTCTCATCAGGGTGAAAAGTGAAGGTTTCTGTGGTTGGAGTCACACAAACCTTACACACACAAATACACGTCCACATGTAACTTCCTGTGCGTGAGCTTGCACAGAAACAAGCTAAGAAAATGTGTCTGGCTCCTGTTCAATTATTTCAGTATACTCTGTAGACACATTGAGATGGTTATTGTCTGCTACAGTTCATTGTCAGCTTCAGAAAATGTTGAACCAAACAACATCCGATAACTTAGTGTGTTTATAGGTTAAAAAAAATCACCACTCAAAACCTCCTGAGAGGTTGCAAATGAATCAGATGTCTGTGTGATTGGTGGACAGTTTTATAATATGTTATGGAAGGCCTGTACAAGAGGACAAGATGCGTTGGGAACGCTGAGGGCAAATTAGACAGTAGATTAATTATGTTGAATAGGTGGCCCAACACACTATAAATGTCCTCATCCCCAGCCTGTCTGCAGCAAACAGATGAGTTCATAAACAGACAGTGGAGGATGCTCTGTGTCCGGGGGCAAACAAGTGTCTGTGTGAAACGAGACTGTGCCCGGGAGTGAGTTGTGTCCACATGCTGGTGTGAATGTGATGAGATGAGCCTGAATGTATCCCAGTGATGAAATAGATGAGGAGTGATAAGTCATTTCCCCCTCATAAGTTTGGCTGTATCTCTGTCAGTATGTGTTTAAGCATTTGCAGGCATGTGTGTGAATCCATACACACAGGCCCCGTTTGCCTTCCATCACAAATGGTGTAGCGGTCTCGTCAGCAAACTGTTGCATAATCAGCCTGCCGTGACACTTTAATTATGTCTACTTGTCTTCCTATGCTACGGGCCAATTCACTGACAGCATAGTTCTTAAATGACATTTTTTGTTTCCATCCAATTCCCATACTTGAAAATTGAATGGCAGATGATCCAACTTCATTTGACTATAGCCAGATTTATGCTTCTCTTTTAAGGGGTTATGTTGTACCAATGGAGCCTATTGCCTATTACTGACTCCGGCAACCTGAACATCCTCATCCTCCTCGACCTCACCGCAGCATTCGACACCATCAACCACACCATCCTGCTGTCCCTCCTTGAATCATCACTCAACATCACTGACACTGCACTCTCCTGGCTGAAATCCTACCTCACCGACAGACATCAGTTTATCAACATCAACAACTGCACCTCCTCCACTGCTCCTCTGTCCCAAGGCGTCCCCCAGGGTTCGGTGCTTGGCCCCCCCCTCTTCATCCTTTACATGCTCCCCCTTGGCAAAATAATTCGTCGCCACAACCTTCAATTTCACTGCTACGCCGATGACATCCAACTTTATATCTCAACAAAAACCATCACCCCCACAACACACTCCACTCTCACCAACTGTCTCTCAGAAATAAAAGCATGGATGCAAACAAACTATCTCCAACTGAACAGTGCCAAATCAGACATCATCATCATCGGCCCCCCATCCCGTATCAAAGACATCCAGAATTTCAACTTCACCATTGACAGCCACACTCTATCTCCCCCCCCTCACATCCGCAACCTCGGAGTCATTTTCGACAGTCAGCTCAAATTCAACCACCACATAAATCACATCACCAGGACCGCCTTTTTCCACCTCAAAAACATTGCCCGTCTCCGCCCATCACTCTCCTCCTCTGCTGCTGAAATCCTGATTCATGCATTCATCACTTCACGACTCGACTACTGCAATAGCATCCTCTATGGCATACCATCCAACCTCCTCAATAAACTCCAACATATCCAGAACTCTGCTGCCCGCCTCCTCACCCACACCCGCTCCCGAGACCACATCACTCCCATCCTTCAGAATCTCCACTGGCTCCCCGTCCGTCAAAGAATCCACTTCAAAGTCCTCCTCATTACTTACAAAGCCCTCAACAACCAGGCCCCCCCCTACCTCACAGACCTGCTGCACCACCACACCCCTTCCCGCTGCCTCCGCTCATCAGAAGCCAACCTCCTATCCATCCCCACCCGCACCAATCACCGGACCTGGGGGGACAGAGCCTTCTCCGTCGCTGCCCCCTCCCTCTGGAACTCACTCCCACAACCCATCCGAGACTGCACCGACCTCACCACCTTCAAAAAACTCACAAAAACTCACCTCTTCAATCTGGCTTTTCATGTGTGATTGTTTTTGTATTATTTGACTTTAACTATATATTTATTTGTTGTTCCTTTCTTCTCTTTTTTTTTTCTTCACTATTATCTGTAAAGCGTCTTTGAGCACCTGTAAAAGCACTAACAAATTAAATCTATTATTATTAATATTATTATTATTCCACTAGAGGCGCCATGATCACATTTTTGCCGCAAATACCGACTGCTGTTATAAAAGACAAACTTTTTTGTCAATTCAAATTTAAACACAAGACATTCTAAATGTTATTGCTTCAATTTAATAACACAATACATAAACACTGAGATTCACAAATGAAAAATGTTTCTGTACTTTGCAAAGCCCAACATGATACAAGCAATACAAACAAGGCAGAGCATTTTTTGTCTTCTTGTAGCACGATGAAAATGGTGCAACCATACATCTGGCTTTACAAGACTGGCATGAATCTAAACTAGACTGATAAATAAGCTAGGCCCATAAAACGTCCTACAGCTATTAGCTTACTGCAAATAAATGGGTCCAGGTGCATGTCTGCTGATAGGTAACAAGACGTTTTACTAAAGGAATGCCAAACAAGGTTTCATTGACATGTTTTGTCCAATGGAGAGCTCGGTCAAGAAGATTTTTACACATCAAGACAATCAAAGAAAAGACAGGTAATCGTATCCAATATGACTATAACATGAATAGTAGAAAAACAACTAGTCCCAGACAGTAGGATCATGTTTGTTCACCTTAGCACTAGGCTATAACCTGAAGAAAAAAGCAAAAGCCAATCAGAAGGAATACAAGTATGAGCCTGGGAAAAAAAACAAAGCACTTACACTTCATACTCAACTTCCTCACTCTCTCCTGAAGGAACCTTCCACCCAGGCCACAGAAAAAATATATCAACCAGATGTGAATGTACCGAGAGTGGACAGCGCACAGTAATTGTGACCTACGGGGTAAAGGTTGACAAGGGGAATCATTATAGAAGAGACTCCATGCAGGAGTGTACAATTGAAGCAAAACTCTACCATACCAGCTCCACAACTGAAAATAAATCTATTGTTTGTCAACAAGCATGAAGGACTGTTAGGACCTACTGATAGTAGTGGCTTTTGTGTAACAGCTGCTACAAAAGCATAACTACAAGTTGCTAGGTTAGGATACTGATTGGAAACATGCCATTATTTCTGTCCATCCATCCCATCCCATCCCATGTAAGATTCCTCCTCCTCCTCCTCCTCCTCCTCTCTGGTTCAGGTGGAATAATGAAGGATGGAGGAGTCCCAGTCATTCAATTACACACCCTGGACACGATCCACACACACACACAGACACACACACACTCACACAGCTGCCCTCTCTCTCTCTTTTTCCTCTTATTGTTGTAATGGAAGTCTGTAAATAGGGCCATTTCGAGTTGAACAAGCTTCAGGATGAATTACAATAGGCTCAATGAGTCAAGGCAGCAGTGTAATGGATTTTTCCTCTTTCCATTTTTCTCCCCCCCCCCCCCGCATCCCTTCGACGTTATGTATTCTGCCAGCCAACGCATGTAGTATATGAAGTGGCTAGTACCAAGGATTAGATTTTAAAAAAGAGGTCTATTGCTTTGAAGGCTAATAAACTTGGTGTTTCTTTTGGGCAGAGGAGAGATAACTTTGTCCTTGGCTCGCTCATAACCTCATCAGAATCGCTCAATGAATCACGGAGCGCCATAACTCATGGCGGGGGCAGCTGTGATACAGTTAAGAAATACCCTTGGTGGAGAGAGGGGAGCTGCATCTTGGGTGGAATTGACTAAAGAAAACATGTTGGAAGATAAAATACAAGCACGCAACTGCATTTGTTTCTTTTATAAATAGTATTTTCAAATCGATATGGGATACAGGAATACACAGATACATGGTGTACATTGTTGTTCCAATTTAACAAGAATGGGTGTTGAACAGATAAAAAGTACATTTTACTGTTAGGTCTCTATTTTCTACAACTTTGAGGATGTACTGCAGAGGAAAGCGTGTGAAATTCAACAAGTAGACACGGTTCAGGTTATTGTATTATTTCTGCTTAATGTTTTGATAAGAAAAACATCAAGGGCAAAACCAAAGACTCACTGTAGTGTTTTCCTTGGTAATTTCATTTGTATATGCTTCACAAAAATGTGAAGACTTGAAAATGGAAGCGATTAATAAAAGCCATAGTTTTTTTATGAGTCATTAAACATGGCCTAAAGGACTCATAACAGAGCTGATCATTCACACCATAACCTTAGTCCCTGTGTCGTTATGCACTTAATTAAAAGCAGACAATGACACATCCAAAAATGAATGTCTGAATAATCCTTGAGGTCACACACACACAAACACACACAGGTAATGTTCCTTGTGAAGACTTTCCAGCTTAACTTGTCATACATTCGGAAGGCGCTGAGCTCCTAGTTGTGGTTCAGAACTGTGCGGCAAACAGACTTACATCGTGAATTAACAAGATTTAGTGTTTTAAGAGGCTTGTTAGGTAAACCTGCACCTGCCTGGCTCCAGACTGAGGCTGACTCTGAGCTACTTTCAGACACTTTGAAGTCTCTAACTGTCTCATCCATGACTGGCATATCAGAGAGCCTGCACAGCTACACAGGTTCAACGCTGCGATTTGCCATGCACCGATATCATGCGTTTGACACATTCCCACCTTTTGGTTTTGTAACGCTCACCAGAAAAACTCTGTCTGTTTCAGTTAATAATTGTCATCTTGTTTGAAGCTACAAGACAAGACTGAAAGAAAAAATGTAAAAGAGGACAAAGAATATATATAATGCTCATTATATCACTGCATGAATCCACTTGCACTACCATAAAGAGATACATTGAGTTTTAATACCCCTATACTATAAAAAAGGCATAAAAATGAAATAAAACTTTCCAGAAAATAATAAAGAATATCAGTCCATCAAAGGAAAGGGACATTTACTTCCTCTCTAGGCTCAGTGCAATACCTCTAAGATCCTTTTACCTGACATGACACAAAAATTATTTCTTAAATCAACGTTCTCATTTTGCTGAAGCTGTAAAAATGTACTTTTGTACTTAGATGAATGAGACATTAGACAATTCAATGACATCCCTCCAAACACATACCATCTTATATGTTGTAAAGGGTTTGCTGATCACCTAGTATAAAACAAATAGTGCAACCTAGAAACCTCATGTGTGTAACTTTGAAGCATGAACTCTAGGAGGTGTGTTTATAGACGCAAAGGACACCATATGCCGCTGTTTGATTAAATCTAAACTTTAGTGGTCTTGAGTCACGTTTTTAAGAAAGTGGGCCATTTACCTCAGTTTTATAGATGGTAGTTTAAAACTCCCACAGTGGTGATGGGTACACAAACTGTTGTCTAACAGCGGATCGGCACAATTAAAAATACATTTCCCTCTTGCACCCTATTATAAACACAGCTTACAGGTTTTGATGCACACACATCGTTATTAAGTCAATGTCACTGTGTGATTTGCAAATAATTATGATTTGACCTTTTACAATGACCTAATTACCTAAAACTGCTAAAGTCAATATTGCATTACTCTGATAATATTGAATGAGAGCAACTTCGGGACAAACATCAGTATTTGGAATTTTTCTCAATTAACCCTGTTTTTTTTTTTTACCTTTCAGTGTAAATTGCATTGTTAGCTACAGACACTCGGGTGTAAAATAGCATTGTTAGCTACAGACACTCGGGTGTAAATTGCATTGTTAGCTACAGACACCCGGGTGTAAATAGCATTGTTAGCTACAGACACCCGGGTGTAAATAGCATTGTTAGCTACAGACACTCGGGTGTAAATAGCATTGTTAGCTACAGACACTCGGGTGCAAATAGCATTGTTAGCTACAGACACCCGGGTGTAAATCAGGGTTGCCAACTTTGGGTACCTGGCTGGAGTGAGATTTTGAAATCATAGGTTTAATTACACATATGCACACTAAATGACTGCTGCAGTCATTTAGTGTGCATATGTGTAATTAAACCTATGATTTCAAAATCTCACTCCAGCCAGGTACCCAAAGTTGGCAACCCTGATTTACACCCGGGTGNCGTTACCCTGACCCGTTATGTTGTTCGTGTATGATCCCTCTTTCATTTAAAAAGCAAGTTATGTTTTAAGCATGAAAGCTGTAGGCCAGGGGTACTCAAACTTTTTTATTAAAGGTCCACTTTAAATGTTATACAAGGTCCCTGGTCCGGACCAGGGACCCCCCCCCCGTTGCAGTAAATTTAAGGGTTGTTCATGTTGTCGTTGCTGTGGACCTTCTTAATCTACCTTCTTTGGGGGCCCCCTTCTGGTCCAAGCACTTGCCTGCCTTGCCTGTCAGCAATTGGCGCCCCCTGTATCCCTGTACACATTCAATACATGCATACAGTATGATGGCTTGAGCATTAGAAAGTCAAGGTAAACTTGCGGTTTGCAATGCGTGTCACGCTCACGCACACAAGTAAATATATATGCACGTTCATTCTCACAACGCGTCAGACACAAGAAAATATACATTAATTTCAGAATCAGAAAGTTTTTATTTTGTATAATTCTTTTTTTTATAAAAGGGACACAGGGTTCGGTCCGGATTGATTTGTTATTCGGTCCGGAGTTTGAGAAGCCCTGCTGTAGGCCTATAGCTGTCAACTGTTCAAACTGTGATCACCAGTTCAATACATTTGACAAATTCGACTTGGTTTCTATACTTATTTCAACATGTATTTAACATGTTTTTTTTTTTTGTAAACATTTTTCACACTTTTTTTTTTATAGGATATTTAGATTTCGGTTAACCGTTTTTTTTGGGGTCGAATATACATTTGCTTTCCAATTCCCATCCCTAATATACATGCACACAATAAAAAAAGGCACAACAATTAATATATACAATTAGCAGTCTTCACTCAAATAATAATAATACATGTATTTTATAAGCGCTTTTACAGGTGCTCAAAGTCGCTTTACAGAAGTAGTAAAAAAAAAGGATAACAATTAAATATAGTAAAAATCACATTAAAATCGAGCAATAAAACAACAATCACACATTACAAGTGGGCCAAAAGTCTTTGCATTCATTCAGTGGTGCTTTTGAACTGACACATTTAGTACTCACTCTTCTTTAAGCTTTCTTTTTTCTGGGCTTTTAAAAGGTTTTATGTTTTGCCTTAGCCCTGAATTACAGTGGCGTTGCACAGCAGAAGAGGCTGAGGTACAGTACAGGGATAAACTTCGCTTAGTGCCCAGTTTTGAGTGCAACATATTGGGTCCACAGCTCAGAATTGGAGGAAGGGTTTTCGTGCATCTTCCCAGTCTGCACACACAGGATTAGGGTTGTTGACAGCACACAGCAGAGTAATCACTAAAACATGAGCCAGGAGACGAGGACTACACAAATAATTTAAAGACATGTCATAATCACAATGTTGCTCTTTTTGTTAGAGACAAAAGTGCTTGTAAGTTGTTCTGTTCTTCCGCAGAATCCCCAGCCACAAAATGAAGTTGCAAAATGGAAAATATATATATCTTTAATTTCACCAAAAGAGGGAATATCATGCAGTTTCTTTCCTCGTCCTCTTCCTCCCACACAATGACAGCAGAGAGTGGGGGGAAGTTAAGTTTTATTTTAAAACTAAAAAGGATATCTGGTAGATAAAGAGTTGCTCATGCATATGCAGTCTTTGCAATTATGTCATCAAGCATTGAGATTAGAATAAGTTATCTTTTATTTAGATTCATTAAAAGGTCTCCAGATGATTGAGCTGTTATGATGTAATATGAGTTAAAATGTACAATGTTGAGACCTGTTTAGACTTAACTCTTCTGAATCCCTAAAGAAAAACTCCTACATAATACTCAACTTGTATTGTACAGGATGTTAGCCCAACATTATTATTATTAACCAGCTACCATTATAGCAACCCAGTCTCACGGCATTTGGTGTTATAGTCACAAAATTAATTGAATCTATTGATTCGTGTTCACCGACACAATTTTCGCATTTTTTCGTGTCTCACAGAACGATTTTAAAAGCAATGTATTTCTATTGGTAGTATGTTTCGTGTCTGCACCACGTCTTTTTGTCCGGTCGGGTCTTGGAAGACCGGAAGCTGTGTGGTTCATAAAAACATTTTCTTACTCAATATCTTACCCTAAGCCCTATCCCTTTTATTTTAAATTTTATAATGTCTGAGTTTTTTTGCCGTCTGCGAGGAAAAGAAATGGTTCAGAGCCTCAGAATACTGAAATCTGTATTTTTAAAATATTTTTTTCCTTCTAATTTGTTATTATTTGGTGCAGGCACGAAGCATACTACCAATATAAATACATTGCTTCTAAAATCGTTCTGTGTCAGAATACTGAAATCTGTATTTTTTTTGATCTCTTTTTCCTTCTAATTTGTTATTATTTACATTGCTTTTAAAATGGTTCTGTGTGACACGAAAAAAAAGCAAAAATCGTGTTGGTGAACAGGAATAAATAGATTACATTTCGTGACTATAACATGAAATGCCGTGAGACTGTGTTGGTTAATCACATAGCTATCATATGCCTAAAACAGTCCTAATGCTCTTCTAGGTAATCAGACATCCTGTCATGTTCACAGCTACAGCTGGGATACCTTTGTTATCATGTGGACTCTGATACATAAAATAATACATTCAGAATCTTCCCAACCAAAAGGGTTTTACGTTTAGAATTAGCCTTGCTCTCTAATTCAATGCAGAATCTGCAAAGGTGAAACAACATTAGCTAGCTAACTACTGTAGCTAGCAGGCTAGGAAAGCAAAACAGTGTCAATATCCCACTTCTTACAAACTACTACCACTGTATGTTTTTCTCTGTTGTATTCTTCAGGCTCGGGGCAGATGTATCATCACTTTGAGCAATACATTAAAGGTCCCTTATTATAGCCTACTGTTGGCGGGGGTTACCTTGGTTGCTGATTGGCTAATGGTTACACAAGCCAAAAAAATACGTTATGTACATCATAAAAGTAGGCCAAAACTACTGATCAGCTCATTTTCTAGACAGGTTTTTATTAGAAATAGGATCAGGACNAAAAAAACGGCTAACCGAAATGTACATACCCTATAAAAATAAATAATTATAATTATTAATAAATAAATAAATACATGTTAAGTACAGAAACCAAGTTGAATTTGTCAAATGTATTGAACTGGTGATCACAGTTTGAACAGTTGACAGCTTTAGGTTAAAGCTTTCATGCTTAAAACATAACTTGTTTTTTTATTTAAAGAGGGATCATACACGAACAACATAACGGGTCAGGGTAACGTAACCCGTGACAACAGAGATCAACAACCCATAACAGGGCCTGTACACAGAATGCAGCTATTCAATACTCATTCTTCTTTAAGAATATGAGCATGTCTACTCAGGGGTTGAATAGCTGCATTCTGTGTACAGGCCCTGTTATGGGTTGTTGATCTCTGTTGTCACNGTAACCGTTTTATAAAAGCAATAGCTCACTTCAGGCCGTGATATATGCTCATTATATCACAGCTAAGGGGGTTGTCGACCCTCCGCCAGGTCTAAAGGTGTGTGTTGCTCCGCTCACCGGTCCCTCACAGCGGGCAGAGCTTCAGGTGCTGATCTCTCTCTCTCGCGTCCGGTTATACTTCACTCGCGTTTATGTCCAAATCCATCAGATCTAGCTAGTTCTAGCTAATGCTATGGCTGCTGCCCCTCCCTTCACGCAGATCACGCAGACTCAAACCTCATCGTATGCCCAAATTCCAGCTGAGAGGGTCTTCTCTACAGCTGGCCTGATTGTGAATCGCCTCTCCCATGAGTAGACATGCTCATATTCTTAAAGAAGACTGAGTATTGAATAGCTGCATTCTGTGATAGGCCCTGTTACAGGTTGTTGATCTCTGTTGTCACGGGTTACGTTACCCTGACCCGTTATGTTGTTCGTGTTTGATCCCTCTTTCATTTAAAAACCAAGTTATGTTTTTAGCATGAAAGCTGTAGGCCTATAGCTGTCAACTGTTCAAACTGTGATCACCAGTTCAATACATTTGGCAAATTCGACTTGGTTTCTATACTTATTTCAACATGTAGGCTATTTATTTATTTTTCCCAATTTAATTATTATTATTTATTTTTTTTGTTAACATTTTTCCCACATTTTTAAATTTTTTATATGATACGTACATTTCGGTTAATCGGTTAACCGTTTTTTTGGGGATCGAATATACATTTGCTTTCAAATTCCCATCCCTACTTTCCACCAATACCTCTTAAATTATCCATATCAATTATAATATTGATTTTCGCAATGAACATACCTTATCGCACATGAAGATGCTGAGAATCACAGTCATAATCCCAGTGGATGGATATTGGCCCTTCTTCTTGAGCCAATTCAAATGAACGTATTTCATGAAAGCTGGACTGAGGATCATCACCTGTTCACGATTACATTTAGATGTTATCTGACATTTATTAACTAGCTCATTCCCATTAACTGTATAATAGATAATACTCACAAAATCTTTGTTAGCTTTCAAGCTTTTCTGTTCATTTGTATCTTTTCTGTTGGAGGATAAAAGAAGTGTCAGTCCGTTGTTCTTTCCCCTTCAAATTGGCTAATATTTTAAACTCTCAACGTGATGCTCACCAACAAATATGAGAGATATTGCTCAACACTTTCTATACACAATACTCCCGTGATTGGCAGTTAAACAAAACGGAAGCATACTTGGCAACAAGCACAGTATAAGAGCAATAACATGTGGCTATAATAAAAGCTTTTTTCAATACACTGTCTGGGAATAGCAAACATCCGGTAGCCTAAATTCCATGCTAAGTTACCAGCTTTGGCAAATGTTCCACCCAAAGAAAATGTTTCCTCCCTGTTCAAACTTTACAACCCTTACAAACAAGCCATCATTTTAATATCAAGGCAATATTCCCAGACTTTTTCTTTGATTTAATTGCATTTTATTACACTTTTACGTGTGTAATGCCTGTTAACATGATACTCTGACTTTATTTATCTCCCGATTTTGGATGAAAAAAGTAGTCTTAGCTATCCAAACTCATGATTCAAGCTAGGCATGGACGTGGGAAGGGTAAACAATAACTGTTACGATATCAACATGCAATATCGTTGATGAAAAATTACGAGATGAAAATGTAGTTTACTAAATAAAAACTTTGCCAAAATCTCTCTTTACTTTCGTTGACGAAAAAGGGGGAGAGGAAATATTATCAAAGATAACGTTACATTTCTGATAGTCAGTTTTTCCCCCAGCAGTTCCATTTCCGGTGCTGCGGCTGGGCAGCAGCTGTGTGTCTGTGCTGCGCGCCGGTACATTTGAATTACACCGGGTAAGCGGGACTCTAGCCTCATCCCAATACCCCTCCTCGGTTGCGTTCCAATAATCCAAAAATCAGCTCCTAAATTCTAACCCTATCTCCTATTCCTTGACCTCTGAGTGAAACGTCACGGGGTTAAGGGATAGTGGATAGGAGAATTAAAAAGGATTTAGGAGAAGAGACTGCGGTACTTTAGAGAATCCGAATGCACTTTCACTATCCGACGTGTTTATGATGCGCCAGCGGACGTCATTGTGTGCGTCTGCTGCTGTGGGGAAACTACAGTGTTCTATACAGCGGACTACAACATGGATTTTTAATAAGAACGACGGACTCATCTAGAGACTGCACCGTGCTCTGATGCTGTTGCTTTTTGCTTTATGAACGTGGACAACAGAGAAACATATTCTTCATGACCAAAGTTGGAATTGAAATAAAAAAATGAAAGTGAAACTTATGCTCGTCACCCTCTCCCTCCGGTCCACATTAATACAAATGATCCAATACGTATGATTGTATGAACTATGAAAAGATCTTAAAATCAATACAAATGTATTTATTATAAACGTTAGTC